AGACTAAAAGCTGAGGGAGAAACGACAATAATTTAATGCAATGAAAAGCCGGACAGTTAAAATGTGGTATTGTTAAATCAAGAGATGTTGCAGTTTCGATCTCTTGCATTGCAATTTGCAGACATATTTACGGTCATACGCTTTTAGACGTAGTATAGGAATAATTCTTTCAATTCTTCAATTTTTAGTTGAAAACTTTTTACACTTTAAGAAATTAATTTTAATTTTCTATCGGTATTCGCTGGATTATGCAGTTGGTCATAGATTTCCCTAGAGAGCAGCAGGCAACATTTTTGCTGTGTGATCTTTGTGATTCGGGTGGAGTCACTTGGTAGAGCAGTTTTGTTTAAAGACCTTTGGTCCTCAACTACAAGTTTATTTTCTTTCAATCGGTATAAATCTACCACCATACTGAAGCAACGGTAATTTTCTCACTTCATTCAGTTTAAAACAATTTTAAGGTATTAAAATTTACCTTTGAACTACTTGTTACTACTATTGGCGGAAAATGCGTGCCTTTCAATGACCATTCTTATTATTTATGTTTTTTCACAAAACTTCTTAACTTCACTTCACAACATCAGTTTTCATTATTTATATACTAAGTTTAGAAACACAATTTAAGTATACAGTCGTATTAAGCGTACACTCATACTTCAGCTCACAGTCGCGCTGATTTATATAGCAATTTGGCAACACTCGAATATTCTGGTCAATTATGGAACATTCCCTATTCTAAATATGTCGAGCTGTCCCTAACTTTCTGCAGCATCTCGCTGGCTGCGTTGCCACCAAATATCGTTTTTTCTCGCTGGCCGCAATACCATTATATTCCCAGTCATCACTTTTACTTAGTCATTTTTTTCCTGCGTTTGCATTTTTTCTTTGGCTCTCAAAACTCTCTGCTGGCTTATAGTTGGCATCTCTCTCATCTGGTAAATCTCTTCGGTAATTTTCTTTTAAACTGTATTCAACTTTCAGGTGTCTCGTTATCTAAATTATTGTCGGTTTGTCTTTTTGCTGAATTATATCACTAACATGATTTTTCGTGCTGCTTTAGTTAATATTCATTGTTTAAGGCAGCAATTTTATATTTTTGTGTACATTATCTATTACAAGAGATGGTTTAGTTTCATCTGACTGTTAATCATGGGCAGAATTTATATTTTCCGGCAGGTCCTAATTATTAGTTTCATATTGTACCATGCAGAAACGGGTTTTGCATTCCATGCGAGTTGTTTCATTAAATATAACATATTGTCGTACATTTGAATTATGATGTTTATATTAAGATCTTGTATGAAAATTTAGCGGAACTATTAAATGAAATACCGTTTTCTAGGTTGGGAATATTTCCCTCAACTATAATTCTCGACGGTTTATCGAATAGCTAAGCCAGTATTTCCCTCAAAAACGGACAGGCACCAATGGCACCAATGGCTCCAACCTCGTCCGCCTGATTCAACTTCCTTAGAACCTTCGTTGTGGGGATTTTAAAAAAGTAAAATATATTGTCGAACTCGTTAAGCTCTTATGTCGAACTCACGCTACCAAGGAATAATTTAGCTACAATGTAATTTCAGGTGGTGACGAATTACGGCCTATTCCCAACCTCAATGCTGTAAGGGCAATGAAGAAACTATGCCAAATTTGCATAAGAAAATGGCAGACAGTAGAATATTTTTTGTAATTTGTCTAAATTGTTACTTGTTTCGACTAATTATTTTTACTGTTGAATTGTTATTAAAACTGATATTTTTTGTATTGCGATTTTAATTCCTCCAATAATCATTTAAGTTTCTTTCAAAAACTATTATTCATAAACCAATGAGATAAATTTGCATCATCGAGTTTCAAGGCTCACTTCAATTCTGAGCTTAGTTATTTTGAAACGCTTTACCTACGCATTTTAATTTTAAATAAAAAAAGTAAAATTTGTGCAATTTTTAAGAAATTTTCAGAGTGATCCGAGTCAACTCTCGGAAATCTTGCTATGAAAAATTTCAAGTTGTTAGTGGTTGTCGGTCAGAAGTTGAGGATTTTTACTTCAAAGCTTGCAACTATTTACAATCACTAATTTTTACACTATAATTTAAAAAATCCGAAAAAATCGAATTCAATACGATATTAAGGAATTTTTATCACATTCGAAAGGAAACGTCTTCTAAATACTACAAACATTTCAAGTTGTTACCTAGTCTAGATTGAGAGCTACGAATTTTTGTACCAAAGAAGGAGTTTGAGTGGAATCGGTAATTTTTCGACCAACTTTCAAAAATCTTTAAAAATGCAGGTTTCAGTGCAATTTTGATAACATTTTTATGTTATGGAGAACAACCCTCAAGTTGTTAGGGGACTCGGTCTCGGTCAGAGTTGAGAATTTTAATCCAGAGCTTGCATCTGTTAATAATCATTAATTTTTACACCATAATTAACAAAATTTTCAAAAATAAAGTCTCAGTACGATTTAAAGGAAATTTTTTATCATGCTCAGCATGAAGCTTTTTTTATAGACTGTAAAAATGTCAAGTTGCCTGCTCTAGATTGATAGTTACTGATTTTTTAACCAGGCTTGATTGAAAACGTGCATTTTTAGGCCAACTTTTAAAAAACTTCGAACAATCAACTTTTAGCGAAATTTTCATCACATTTTGCGCGTTTTTAGAATCAACTCTTTTCCATACATTGTGAGCATTTTAACTTGTTAGTGGCTATCGGTCAAAAGTTGGGAATTTTTAATCGAGAGCTTGCAACTGTTTAAAATAATTTCATTCAGTTCAAAAAAATCAAGTTTCAGTAAGATTTAAAGAAAAGTTTTACCACGTTCAATATGAAGGTTCTTCTATAGACTACACAACTTTCAAGTTGCTACTCGCTCTAGATTGATCACCATCAATTTTGAAACCAGAGGAGGTATTAGATTGGAAGCGCTCATTTTTAGACTAACTTTAAAGAAACTTAAAAAAATTGGTTTCAGTGCAATTTTCTTCAAATTTTCATTATTTTCAAAATAAACTTCCAAACTCCAAACTTTTCAAAAAAATATATCATCTATAAACTGTGAGAACTTTTTACACAACAAGTTTTTAGTGCGTATGGGTCACAAACTGCGAATTTTTAATCGAGAGCTTGCAACTGTTTATAATCAATAACTTTTACACCATAATTTATAAAGTTCTACAAAATCAAGATTCAGTACTATAAAAAAAAACGTTTTATAATGATTAACATGAAATTTCTTAGATATACTATCAACATTTCAAGTTGTTAGCTGCTCTAGATTGAGCGCCATAAATTTTGTAGCCAGAGGTGGTATTTGATTGAAAACGTTCATTTTTAGATCAACTTTAAAAAAGCTTTAAAAGATCAGAATTCAGTGCAATTTTCTTCCAATTTTCATGGTTTTCAAAATAAACTTTCTTCTATAAGATGTGAGAACTTTTAGTTGTTAGTGGGTCTGGGTCAGAGTTGAGAAATTTTAATCCAGATCTTGCGACTGTTTATTATTCATTAATTTTTACACTGTAATTTACAAAATTTAAAAAAATAAATTTTCACTACGATTTTAAGAAAAGTTTCATCACGCTCAATATTAAGCTTCTTCTACAGACTACAAACATTTCAAGTTGCGACCGGCTCTAGATTGATAGGTACGATTTTTTTAACTAGAGGAGGTACTTGGATTGAAAACTCTCATGTTAAGACCAACTTTAGTTGACAGATAGATAGACAAATAGTTTTCAAGCATCAAGTTTTATAGTAATTTTTACCAAATTTTCAACGTTTTTAATACCATCTTTGTTCTATAGATTGTCAGATTTTCACGTTGTTAGTGTGACTGGGTCAGAAGTTGCGAATTTTCAATTTAAAATTTCAAACTGTTTATAATCCTAAGTTTTATGCCATAGTTTACAAGAATCCAATAATCAAGTTTCAGGACGATATTTAGAAAAGTCATTACCTTTAACACGAATCTTCTCCTATAGACTGAAAACATACTTAGTTGCTACTTGTTCTAGATTGATAGATACGGATTTTTTAACCAGAGGAGGCACTCGGATGGAATTAAAACTTCTTGGAAACTTTTCAACGCTTTTAGAACCAACTTTGGTTTTATAGACATATGGGAATTTTACGTTGTTAGTGGGTCTGGGCCAGAAGTTGAGAATCCAAAGSTTGAACTTAGTAATTTTCATTAATTTTACACAATAATTTATAAAATTTTGCACATTCTAAAAATGAAGTTTTTCTATAGACTAMATTTCAAGTTTTAACCAGACTTGATTGGAAAAGTTCATTTTTATACCAACTTTTACAAGGCTCTCAAAAATCAGGTTTCCGCGCAATTGCCTCAAAATGTTCAGAATTTTCAGAAACAAGCTACTTCAATACAATGTGAGAATTTCAAGTTGTTAGTCGCTCTCGGTCAGAAGTTGAGAATTTTTAATCGAGTRCTTGCGTCTTTCATTTTTACACCATAATTTACAAAATTCCAAAAACTCAGTTTTTAGTATGATTTAAAGTCTCATGTTCAAAGTGAAGTTTTTTCTACAGAATACAAAAATTCCAAGTTGCTACCCGCTTTAGATTGATAGCTTCGAATTTCTTAACCAGCGGAGGAGCTTGATTGGAAACGTTTATTTTTCGGCAACTTTTCGAAAGCTTTAAAAATTAAGTTTCAGTTCAATTACTACCAAATTTTCGGCATGTTTAGAATGAAATCCTTTCTATACTTTGAGATAATTTCAAGTTGTAGGTGGTTCTCGGTCAAATTTTTTTTTATTAAGTGTTTAATRATTATAATCATTAATCCTTAGGCCATAAGTCAGAAAGCTCTAAAAAATCAAAGAAACAATTCTGAGTCAGAATAATTCTATCGATTCAAATKATTAAAAATAGTTGATTTTTCGAACAAAGCATCTCTATGTTATCCRCAAAACRCATATTCTACAAAATTTTAATTAAGAGCCACTAGTCAATTCTCAACTGTCAGTGGTTCACTAGGGTTTGACTTASAAACACTAAGTAATGAAGAAACTCCGCTWACATCTTTAATTATATCAAAATATTCGGAATTTTTACTATGTAAGTTTTTTGAGATGCTCCATATATTTTCCTACTTATGTGACTTATAATATAGAAATTATTGTCTATTAAAATAGATTTGTATTTTAAAAATAACTCAAAATAACSACCAATTTTGCCCGTTCTTGTGCAGTGTATAATTCAATAAAACAATAACAATATCAAGAGTTAAAATTGGGTTTGCTGTTTAATTTGAGTCTAGCGTTAATTTTGGGACTCACTTTATACGGCTATTCTATTACACAAAAACTTTTCAAACAAGTGTCTCATTATGCTACTCTGATACGTTACCCGTGATSATTGTATAAACATTTCAGCTTTGCTCATCCATTCAAATWTAATCTGATAAAATCRGATATTCTTCCGGTTTACACTAATCATAATTGCTCAATCATTAAGTAAAATTGATGAATGTACCCCAAAAATTGCAAATACTGGCACATTAAACAGTCATTAGCAACTGTATATCGTTGGATGTTCAATAGTGCAATTAACTGAACTTACTGAAAATGATAACAAATTTTCAACATAAAAAATTTACCAGCTGCTGTTAAAATGCTGTCTTTCAAATTAATAATTTTGCTGTCGTTCTTCCTCCAGATTGAGGTAAGGCAAGTGAGTTGCATAATATTTGTCATCTTAATATTCCCAAATTATCGAACCTTTTGATTATTTGTTTAAAATTAATTAATTAATTAATTTCCACATCATTTGATCTCGTAGTTTGATGCGAAATCAAACAGGATTCATTATTGTTGTACAAATGTATCTGCAATTTTATTACAGATGCTGCGATTGATTCATGAATACGCAAAACTGACAGAAGAAAGAAGTGTTTGTGAGGATAAGCTCAATATTACTGGCTTTGATTTTCACAAATATAACAGAACAACTAAAGCGTTATCGGTTAATTTCACAGTGCTCGAAGATGTCACTATTGATAATGACTTGGAGGTGTGGTGAGAGTTCCTAGTTAATTTTTAACTTAACAAACTTGGCAGATTACGTAAAAAATGTATTAAAAATTGCAGTTTAAAGTCCTTAAAGGGAACGCTTTATAGTCAGTTGCATCACAAAAATGATTTCTTTTTTTCTCTTTGTCTTTTAAATATTTTTAGTAAAGAGATTGACGGGAGGAAAATTGAGTTTGTTAATCTTTATATTTAAATTGTATTTACATACGTAAAAGCGATTTTAGGCATCGGCATTTTAAGAGTAAGTTAATTCGAAAATAAAAAACATTGTTGAATTATGTTAGCTCATTGATGAGTTGCTTCAACGTTTTCAGATAAAAACCACATTGTACTTATGGAAAAACAATGATTATAAAAAAACACCATTTATGTGGTCAATGCAGACTTGCAAGGTCCTGGACAACAATAACTTTGGAATTCAGCTTTTGATGAAGGATTCTACTACGCAGAAATGCCCATTGCTGAAGGTACATAATTTATTGTTTGTCTCTACTCCAAACCACAAAATCATTGAATTTTCAGAAGGATTTTTACTTTTATTCAAAGCAAAGTAATTGTTACGCTACGCTAAATAACACAGCCACACAACCAAAAAACATTTTTTTGATCTGGTCTTGTGCCACTCATATCCTGTAGACCTGCTGAGTCAGTTTGACCTTATAAGGTCAGGATCAAGCTCATTCCAAGGTATAATTGAGAAAGACCCATTTAGGCGGAAAAAATCGATACATCTGTACGCTTTGGTCAAAAGAGACGTTAAAGCGAGGTAAACTACCATCCATGCCTTATAAACATAGGGAAATAATAAAACTAAATAAAATCGGTTTCCAACTTTAACTCAAATTTTCAAGTTTAAACTTTTATCTCTTCCAATCGATTTAATTGAATTTGAAAGCTTTATTATCCCTCTATCGATCTATGTTCTCGCCAATTCAATCGAATTATTTGTTGAATTTTTCGAAATTTTTGTTTACATAAAAACATGGGCAAGTCGAAAATTCTCGAATATTTTTTCGATTCATTCGATTCATTATTCAGTCTGGATAACCATAACATTGTCATTAACCAAATCTTTTAGCTATGTTTCGGTTTAACTAGAATATATTCATCATCATTTTTCGATTTTTGGGTTTCAGTTGATCGGTACCAAAATTTACCGATTACATGGAGTTAGCTCGAGTTCCTCCCCTCCACTTTACCTAAACGATTTGACATGAAGTTGATTTGTATTTGTCTCAATTCCAAATCAAAATCAATACTAATTGTTAATTTGTGTCAATTTCGCCCAATTGTCATTTGACAGTTTTATTCAATTTTAAAAATTTCCCCTCCATAAGAGTTTGTGCAAACTTTTTGTCTTCCCCCTGTAGCTCATACAGGAATTTTTTTTGGAACCAACCGATGTCGATTTTTCTTGTAACTTTTGCATATCTAATCACCTCCCAAGGAATAGACCGAAAAAAAAATGTTCATAAAATTTTTTTTATGGGAAACCGATTTTGAGATTTTACATTTTATTTTTTGTCTCGCAAACGACGCTTCCTATCGAAAAAAGCTATTCTTTACAAACTCGGGCTTATCGAGCGCTATCCAGTAGTATTTTGTCCAACTTTCCAGCTTTAATAGTTTTCAAGAAAATTGAAAATATGGTTTTCAAAAAACTGAAAATATCTCGATAACCAAACGAGCTGAACCGAATATAATCAGTCCATTTCGTCTCTTTTCTTCCGCTTAAATGGTTCTTTCGCAATTTAGCTTTGAACTATCCTTGATCCTGATCTGATAGAGTCAAACTGACTGCGGATTCCTAATCCTCCATAATCCATACGTACATAGCAATTCCAGAAAGAAATGTTGTAAATCGTTTAAACTATTTATTTATTTGTCATAAAATTAAGATTTTGAGTTTTTACATTTTTTAATAATATTATTTATAATTAAATAAACGGAGCAATCAACTTGTAGTGAAATTAATGTTTTTTTCGGATTTTTAGGCCGTCATTCGGTAGAATTTCTTCTTGACGTTTCGCAAGCACGAGTGGCTTGCATCTTCAGAAGCGGTTTGCTTGAACGCTTACACTGTTCTGATCCATCAGAAACATATTATACGCCATTGAGAAAAAAAATAACTTTTAGTTTATATTTAATTTAAAAACGATGAATTGATTTTGCAAAGCTCTACTACGTGCATGGTATTCATAAAATTCTTTTTTACAGGGAAAACATTATATTCGCAATGTTTCGCCTCCTGACTTGCAAGGATGGCCAAGCGTCATTCCAGAAGGAAAATGGAAATTGAACATTGAATATTATAAGCAGAAACAGTATTGCTTTACGGTTGAATGGTTTGCGATTATTAGTAAGAATTAAATTTAATGTACTTATAGTTGAATTAAACAAGGACCAGTACAGTTTTGCAACAAAAATTTATTTTTTAATGTGAATTTGATAATTCGCATTAATTTTCATTCTATTGTACTTCAAATATTTTTCATCAATCGCTAACGTCCTATAATTTAATTTAAAAAGGTAAGGTTTCACAGCCTATATAAGACAGTTGAAGCTCAAAATACTGAAAATTGTACACAAATCGTCTTAATTCCTGATTTTTATTGACTTGAAAAAGTTGGCATAAAAATGGACGTTTTCGCGCAAAAGCACTTATTGCTTCAAAAATCCCAACTTGCAATCTAGAGCAAGGAGACCCTTGAAACTTTCACAGTTCATTGACGACAGTGGAAGCTCAAAATAGTGGAAATATTGACCAACTCGCCTCAATCCCTGATTTTTGCCGACTTGGAAAAGGTGGCATAAAAATGGACGTTTTCACCCAAAAGCACTCATTGCTTCAAAAATCCCAACTTCCAATCTAGCGCAAGGAGACCATTGCAACTTTCACCATTCACAGAAGACGGTTAAAGCTCCAAATGTTGAAACTTTTGCCCAAATCACCTTAAGTTCTGATTTTTTCCGACTTGGAACAGTTGGCATAAAAATGGGCGTTTTCGCCCAAAAGCACTCATTGCTTCAAAAATCCCAACTTTCCTTCTAGAGCATGTAGAAACTTAAAACTTTCATAGTCTATAGAAGACCGCTGAAGCTTAAAATACTGAAAATAATGCCCAAATCACTGCTCTCATTTCTTCAAAAATGTTTACCAATTTTTACAAAAGACCATTGAATCTTTCACAGTTCACAGACGAGAGTTGAAGCTCAAAATATTGAAAATTTTGCCCAAATCACCTTAGATCCTGATTTTTGCCGACTTGGAAAAGTTGGCATAAAAATGGATGTTTTCGCTCAAAAGACCTCATTGCTTGAAAAATCCATTATCATTCTAGAACAGGTATACACTTGAAACTTTCATTGTATATAGAAGACAGTTGTAGCTCAAAACTCTGAAAATATTGCCTAAATCGCCTTAATCTCTTACTTTTACCCATTTGGAAAAGTTGGCACAAAAATGGGCGTTTTCGCCCGAAAGCGCTCTTTGCTTCGAAAACGTCCAACTTCCAATCTGGAGCAAGCAAACCCTTGAAACTTTCACGGTCGATAGAAGACCGTTTACACGTTTCCGAAAACAGCCTTCGTCTTGAAGAACATGGTCTTTTTCTTGTGTTCTGACATACATAATCTTGCTCGTAGTCTTGCTAACCGAAAGACCAGTCTCGATAACCAAAAAAATATAGATATTGGCGAATCGTAGCTTCAAATAATACTTGAAGATAAGATAAGTGCTGGTTTATTAATGAAATATACTTTAAAAATTAGTTAATAATGTGTTTGAAGTTTCTTCTGCAAAATTCAACTCCGCGCTATTACTTATTAGAAACTGTACGAGATACTTATATTTACATCTGATTACTAATCAAGTAACTCACGCACGACAAGATAAAAGTATGATGAAAGGTCCGTGCAGGTTGGGGAGTCGGGACGCCTTTGAGTGTGAGATAGAAATGAGATGATAATGTATATGATAATGTATTATATCTGTAGAGGACATCTCGAAACTCAATTATGTCCTAACGACGTGAAATAGTAATCAATGATATGGCGCTAGCGAAAAGTAAGGAAAAGTAACGGAAGTCGGATCGAGACTCACATCAGTCAAAGCACGGTCCATTACACAGCCGGGCTAAGCGATAGCGGGTAATGGCTGAAAACCGGAGATGAATGGCCGGCTGAAAAGCTAGCCGCTCGCTGGAAATTATCCACGTAAGCCTGGGCCAACGGCGGACTCCGACAAGCTATGGTAATTTTTGGACCGGGACAAAAACGACGGGATTTCAGGAAGGGACACTGAACTTAAAGCGCAACGTAATTTGGAAAACGGCACATTTAAACCGCAAATTCTTTACAGCACCCTATATAATTCCATTGCTGATTTATCGCTTTTAGATCTCTGATATGAGCTTAACGAAAGTACAATAAAACGTAATTGCTTTGGTTTATTTTCCCAAATAATCCGAGCATTATACAATTCTGATTACTAATAAATCACTTTAACCCGCTCAGCCACACATTTTCGCACCACCGCTATTTTGAAAATTTCCTATTTCTATTTTATTGAAGATATTCAAGTCAATTGACCGTGTTTGCAGGACAACGAAAAGGTCTGGTGAAAGTTGCACAAATATGATTTTTGAACAAAATTACGATTCTACATGTTGGTATATTGTTTTACCCAAAAATAGGGACTATACGATACTGAGAGAGTATCGATACTTACTCAAATGAGTAGTAACCGAATCATCTTGCGATACTACTCATATGAGTATTCTGAAAGTATCGATACTTACTCAAATGAGCCATACTTACTCAATTGAGTGACCCTACGTATAATCGTCATGAGTTTTTCAAGACCGAAATTAACTGTTACCGTCAATTTTAACTGTAAAAAAGCCGTTTAAATA